AGTCGCCCATCAGGGCTCGGATTAATGGGACAGTGGTGCTCCTCCTTATGTGGGGGTGAAAGAGTGGCTAGCTGTACGTGGAGCTTCTGGAACTAAAGGTTGACCCACTCAAGCTTGGCCACCTCTTATGTTCCCCATCTGGGATTCGGGGAGGTCAGGGCACACCACAGAGCTGTGCTGTGTGGTACTCCCAGTCCTGAGTTAGCAGCCGGCCTGATCCCATAAGGAGATAGGGAGAGCATGAGGTATCTAAGCTCTCAGCCTGCCCCCTATCTGTGTACCACACACTGCAGTGCACTTGTCATCACATCCTTGTGGCCCCGGCCATGCTCCCCACCACAGCAGCTGACAGCTTTTGCACAAGGTAAACAGGCACTGGACCTAGGGTAGGCAAATTGGACTCACTCCAGAGATCTCAAAATGATGTAGCTGGAGGCTCAAACTCATACAGAAAATATAGAATAAAGCAGTACATGTAACAAAAAAGAAAAGATCCAACAAGGAGTAGGTCAGTTGCGGACATGGTAAGCAGTGTGGCCAGGGAGAGAGAGGCATTCTCTGCAGAGGGACTACCACTCAGACAAACCCATCTAGGACGCCTGTCTGAAGATTCCTCAGCCAGTGGGTGGCAGGCCAGAGCAGGCAGAGGCACATAGGAGAGAAGTCACACTTGTCCTTCCAGTGGGTGCAAGGGGTCCGGCAGGAGGCAACAAGCCCATCTTCAGAATGCCATGACAACTCACCTTGAGCCAAGGTGAAGAGCATCCTATACTTAAGATGCACTATGACCGCAGAGAGTATCTTGACGCTCAGCTCCAGAGAAGGCTGGTCCAGCGTGTGCTTGTTTTATACATTCTAATTCAAAGAGACAACCTGACAAAAGGAAAAGACAAAATACGCCCTTGAATGTGCTTCTCGCTGTCTAGACTTGGTACATTACTCACTTGTACCCGTACTGGCCAGGGGTATGTCATCAATGTGCCGATGTGTGCCTGGGGACCCTGTTTCCCCAGTGTGCTCTGGGATTTCTCAGGGTTGGCTGTGCTGGGCAGGACAGATGTCCCACTGTGTATTCTGATAGCCACCATCACGTCAGTACCACTGGATGACCATCAGCAATGTGACTGTCAAATGTATTCAAAGGGAGTTGCCAGACACTGGCTACCCCCAAGGACATCAAAGCTACCCCAGCTTGGAGCACTGGAAGCAGAGATAAGTAGAGAGTTGGTGAGATTAGGGGTTTCTTCTAATTCAATCCTGACATATACATTGTGAATTGGTGCCTGAAAACCAGCCAGCCTGTGAATGACCTCTAAGAATAACACAGATAACCTTCTGTCTTTGGCCACAAATAAACTTTGTACACTTGGGGGCTTGAAGTAAAAACAAACAAACAAAAGAGCCCACTTGGATTTAAAATCCTCTGGTTTGGGACTTTGGAGATTCTCTGCCTATCCGTGAGTCACTGAGAGAAATCCATCCAAGTCAGTTGGCAGTATACTGAGTCGTGGTGAGAGCGGGAAACCTGCTCGCTTGATTAGCCCACAGCTTGCACAGTTGATGTGAGGGTGACATCTAAGGAAACTAGACAGAGGTGGTGAGAAGCACACAGACTAACAGGACAGACACATGTTAACTAACAGCTCGTGAGAGCCAGCCATTGCATCTAGGACAGTGCTGTAACAGAGACACACAGCCTGTCTCAGGAGTTTATGGCATGGGGCATGAAATAGCCTGGAGAAACTGACTTGTTGAAGGGACACATAATCCTGGACTCTGAGGCATGTGCATGAGCAAGCACCAGAAGAAAGAAAATAATTCAAGGTACAGAGCAAAGTCGTTGGAGTAGAGCATCATGTGGTGTGGGGAAGCTGAGGAAAGGTGGGGCGGCGGGGGGGGGGGGGTGGAGAGTCCAGCATGAGAATTCCTGGGAACTTGATAGCCTCACTAAACAGGAGGCTGACATATCAGACTTAAACCCTAGAAGCTGGGTGGAGTGTGGGGATATCTATTTTCTCCTACAGTCACCCACAAGAGCCATGATAGCACCTGGAGCCAGGTAGTAACATGGGGATAGACAAATGGGGACAAATGGGGGAAGATCTTTAAAAGGACTCTCAGGGGTTGGGGAGCTAGCACAGTGGGTAAGGAGGATCTGAGTTCAAGTCCCCAGAACCTGCAGAAGATGAGGTGTGGTTCCATTGTGCCTACATTACTGTTGGGGAAGTAATGATATGATAATCCCCAGGAGTTCTGAGGCTGACCACTCTGACACACACACAAACAGTAGCAAACAAGAGACCCTTGGCAGGAAGTGAGAACTCACTCCTGAGGGTGTCCTCCTATGTTGTGGCCATGAGAGCTCTGTGGTAAGCACACACCTGCACTCACACACTTAAATCTACATATTCACACTACAGACACAGACACACACATGAATCTCGGGGCTGAGAAATGCAGAGGCTGAGGAACTGGGAAGAAGGAGAGAAGGAAGTTGCCTATGTTCTGTGTTTCTGAGGTTATCCCAAGAGACAGCATCGGCCTCAGACTTCACCCAGGTGCTTTCGGAAACTTGTGAGTTTGCAGGCAGGGATAAGACACGAGCATGGAGCTGAATGTCAGGTGGCTGGAAACTTGGGCTGGGGCCACTCAGCTGGGCCTGGACACGGTACTGGTATGTAGATGCTTAGGTGTGAGCAAAGTCACAGACACCAAACTTCGAGGGTCATACCCTGTGTCCCAACAAGCCAAGTTCAGCCACCCATCCTCAATAAGTCAATCAAAGGAACCATATCAATAGTGAAAATGAAGAAAAGAGAGCTTTATCCAATGTAGCACAAAAATCCAGCAACTTCCCCAAGTCCATCTTCGGGGGGTTGTGACATGAAGGTAGGATTTCCACACAAAGCAAGAGATAGGCATGACTAAACAGTGTGACCAGGTGTGACCCTGCCTGCCATCACTTCAGGTGCAAGCCTCTCCTGCAAGGCCATTTAATAAGTCATAAAATCTGTCTCCAGGGGACAAGCTTCTCCTCTGCCTGACCCCGGGCTTTCAGCCATTTCCTCTTCCTCCAGGAGACTTCTGGACAAACTTGGGGCCCATTCTTTCAATAGTCTGATAGCCAAAGAGTATCTCTTTAGAATATATTCAACCCTGCCAGACAGGTGTGTTACAGCCTATGTCCACAGAGTGAAGAGAGAAGCCGTAGCTAGAAGAAACGCCACAGTGAGGAAGGGAAGGTAAAAGACTTGTCAGAGGACGATGAGAGGGGGAAGGAGCCAAGGACACGTGCCAGAGGCTAAAAGTCTTCACTGTAGCCAGAAGTTCAGAGAAGCAGTACCAAGCCCTTGGAAGATTCAGCCAGGAGCTACGGAGAAGATGCAAAGGCAAAGCAAGTGGCTAAAAGGCACTCCTGGAGAAAAGGGTATACAGGAATCGTGTAGGGAAACAGAGCTTCTTTGGAAGGTCAGAGATGTGGAGGAATCCACCCTACCCCGATATACACATCCACTTACGTTCCCCGTGTGTTGGTCAGTTCCTATTCTAAGGCCGGTTTCTAACGTGGCTCAGCCCTGCACAAAGTGTCCTGTCAGCTAAGCCACGTGCCAAAGGACTCAGGAGCCTAGGTGGCCTTCTTTCAAATGGTGCATAGGCGTGAGGAAGGTGCTGCCGAAATGACCCAGGGAGACCATCCCAAACAGCAATGACTCCGTGAGGCAAGTGGGTAGAGGGAGGGCCTGGGCACAGAGTGGCGGATCCTCAAGAGCCTCAAGATAAATGCCACCATGTCCTCCTCGCCTAGGCGGTGTCTTTGGTTGGCACCCCTGGCCCTACTGCCCAGCCCTGTGGTGTTTCAGGAGAGCTGCTGCAGATGGGATGCTTTTTATTTGGTGGTACAAACTGGTCGATCTAAACTTTTAAGATGACCTCACGGCCAAAAGTCAGGGCCTTTTGTCACCAAACTTTCTCCCATCTTGCTCCTCCAACCGTTGGTGTGTGTGTGTGTGTGTACCTTGGTTTGCCTTTGGTGGGCCTGGGTGGGGGTGTAAGTCATGACGAAGATTCTTAGCTGGAGCCCTTGCCACATCACCATTGACATGCTCAGCATGCAGGCACTTGTATAAGACCCTCTTCCCGGGTTCAAGGAGCCTTCGGGTTTGTGAGAGAAAGAATCAATCATCAATTTGTAGAACATATGGGTCCTGATATCTGATCTGTGGCAGCGCAGTGTGCTCTGGGAAAAGTCATGGCAGCATGCTGTGGGGACAGGAGGGAGACCCATCAAAGCCAGCTGGGGGGACGGGATGGGCCTCGCCGTATGGCAGCAGTTACAAAGCTCCCCTCGGAGTCTCTAAAGAAATACACTCCCAAATTTGAGTTATTGTGATTATTAATATTATTAATAAACTAGCTTAAGCTAGATTAATATCCAGGAGCTACAATCTGGAGAAGGTCTGGAGGAAGCCCCATGGGTCTGCCTTTAAGATTTGCATAGTGGCTTTATTTTAATTAGTTTACCTTCATCCTGAGCTGTCTGGAAACCCTCCTGGGCAGCTTTGGGGTTCTTTTAGCTGTCAAAATAGATACTCACACCTCCTGCCAACAATAAATCGAACACCACAGCTGTCTGCTGAGTGGACTTGAATTGCCAATTCCACTCTACTGCAAAAACTAAGGTGCTGATTTAGTTAGGAAGGGGTCCTTGCTCAGACTTTACTAGGAAAGAAAAAGTTTGTCTCTGGTCCATCCCTGTTAGAAATCCCTCCCACCAGCTTACCAGGGGTACTGGGAGATTCCCCAGACCATCAGCAAATCCATGAATATTAGGAAGGATATAAATTAACTTTTGTGTTGTTTTTTTACTGAAAGTGTCTATATTTGCATTTCGGTGCACTGAAGAATGAATTTAGGAAAGAGATTGTCAGTCAGCCACCTTACAACTGTACTATTGACATTTGAAGAGTTTCACTGAAAATATGTTTTCCTCTTCGTTCTAGATGGGCAGTGATGACGCCAAATCTCAGCATGAAAAAATGTTTGAAAAACACAGGTCCTAAAAGCCAGCCTCCTGCAGCCCCCACTGCCATAACAAGTAGGTGTGTAAATCAGCTTTCCATTGCCGTAACAAACACCTGAGATGATTTCCATAAAGAGGAAAATGTCTGCTTTGGTTCATCTGAATGCACAAACACAGTGGGCTCCAGAGGTTTAGCTTGTAGAGAGGAGTGTATCATGGAGAAGTACATGGTAGAAGTAGATGCTCATCTCATAGCAGCCTGTAAGAAATACGGAAAATGACAGCCAAGCCTTCAGCCTACTGTGAACATCCTCTGTTAGTCTCTAACATAACATCTCCCCAGAAGTTTCAGACTGGGGACTTTGCCTATCAGAGGATCTCAGAGGGACACTCCAGACCCAAATCAGACCCCAGTGGAACCAACCGGAGAGCCAATTTCGGGAAATATTTTCTGTAGTTGATGAATGGGCCAAAGGAATTACTGGGGAGGATTGGGCTGAGGCTAATGTTATGACTATTCCATTTGACTCCAGGCATCATATAGAATTGAAGAAATTATCTGAATGAAGTTGGTAGGCAGAAGTCATGTGGTTATTTTCTGACCATCAGTGAGCATCTCCCCTGTCTGTTTGGAACTACTCGGAACTCAAGATCAGGTAGGGTTACCTGCAGCAGGACCTGAACACATACACAGAAATGGTTCGGTGTGATAAGGAGATTCATGTCTCTGTGGTGATGCATGCCTGTAATCCCAGCGTTTAGTGGGTCAAGGCAGGAGGTTTAAGGTTATCCTGGGCTATATGAGACCCAGTCTCAAAAAAAGCAGAGCAAGGTGCTCAGCGTGGAGGCTGAAGTTCATGGAGAGCATCTGGAGCTTTGCCCACTGAGAACTCCTTGCACATCTCATCACCTGCACAGCTACAGGACAAACTACGATAGATGCTTGTCCCTAGAGGAGCTCAGCAGTCACCTTGACTGTGCCAACCTCAAGGGCATTAAGCTAAATGAAATAATCTCATCTCAAACAAATGAATCAGAAAAACAAAGTAAAACAGAGGATGTGGGAACTAGGAGAGAGATGAGTGCAAGGCTGGTGTTTAATGGACAGTCTCACTTATAAGCAACCCATGCTGGAGAAGGAGGGTGATAGGGTTGCACAGTAAGTGTGTGCTAGAAATGGTTTAGATGGAAAACTTTGCTTTCTGAGAGAGGCTTTCTCTGTATAGTCTTGGCTCTCCTAGTACTAGCTCTGTAGACCAGGCTGGCCTCGAACTCACAGTTACCCCTGCCTCTGTCTCTGCCTCCCAACAGTGGGTTAAAGGCATGCACCACCACTGCCCAACTAAAACGGTGAACTTTATATTGTGTATGTTTCACCACAGTCTTTAAAGAAGAGAATATAATCAGGGTATAGTGGGGGGACAGGCAGGATGAGGGAGAGCCAGGAAACATGGAGTCACTCAGAAAAGAACAGAAGACAGTCTCCTGACAGCAGTGGGAACCAATGCTTTTGGAGCCCAGGGAGGAGCCAGAGTTTCAGAGGGCATCAGGGCTGTGAGGACTCCTGCAGGGTCTAGGCAGGAAGGAGGAGTGCCTTCTGGGTGGGGTTCTGGGATGAGTAGCACTGCTGTGTTTCTAAGCTCCAGGAGCATACAATGTCCATGTGGACAAGAAACAAGGAAGTAAAGAAGGGACATGCCAGCGGAAGGTCAGAGAAGGGCACTGCAGACACACGACCGACCCTCCCGAACTTCTGGTGCCTGATTCCTCAGGCTCTCCAGAACAGAAGCAGTAAGGTTCCAAATGATAGAAGCACCACCAAAGAGCCACCCTCAGCACGTTTTGAAGCACAACATTGTTCACTATCAGCACCATGCTCCACCGGACAGCGCCAGGCCTTAGCTACCTTACAAAAAAATCAGAGCTTCGAAGGCTGACAAGATGGTTCAGTAGGTAAAGGTGCTTGCCACCAAGCCTGGCTGACAACCTGAGTTTGATCCCCCATACCCATGTAACACAAGGAAAGAAAAGACTCCTGCAAGCTTGTTCTCTAGTCCCCACACATTCACGGTGGCATCTAGGTGCTTACGCGCGCGCGCGCGCGCGCGCACACACACACACACACACACACACACACACTAATTAATTAATTAAAATCAAAACTTTGAATTATTTGTCATCACCTTTTTGTCACCCTTCTTTAGCCCAGTCCCTGGTGCCTACCATTCTACCCTCTATCTCAAGGAGCTTGACTTTTATAAATGATATCACACTCCATTTATTCTTCTGTGACTGATTTATTACACTTAGCATGATGTCCTCTAGATTCACTCATATCATCACCAGCAACAGACTTTCCTTTGTTTTCAAACACAAACAACATTCTGCTGTGTACGTATCATATTTCTCTTTTCATTCATCTGCCTGTACATGTCTAGGCTGCTTCCGTGATTAGGCTGTTGACGGGAGCGCTGCCAAGAACACCAGAGAGCAGTGTCTCTCTGGTCTGGCTGCATTGCACTGGTTAACGTGCACATGACTGGATTGATGAGGTTTTATACTAGCTAGTGATTGTGGTGGTTATAGTGCTGGTAACGAGTCATTTATATTCGAATGTATTTATTTTTTGTGTATGAGTGAGTGTTTTGCCTGCTTGCATGTCTGCATCTGTCAATGCCTGGTGCCTGCAGAGGTCAGAAGAGGGCATCCGATCCCTAAACTGGAGTTACAGGCAGTTGTGTACCCTGTGAGTACAACCTATACTCTTAACCACTGAGCCATCTCTCCAGCCCCTACTTTACACTTTCAACAACAGTGTGCCTGTGCTTTCTTTCTCTCAGTTGCATTGTTTCACATTTTGTTTATTTGGCGCACTGTGTACGTAGAGGTATGTGCATGTGATGGTTTGAGTGTGGCGGTCAGAGGATTACTAGTGAGAGTCAGGACTCTTCTTTCACCATGTGGGCCCTGGGGACCAAACTCAAGGTTGTCAGGCTTGCCAACATGTCATTTTACCTGTTGAGCCATTTCCCCACGGGCCCCCCATTGTTACTGTTGGTTTGGTTTTTAGGAGTTAACCTGACAAACATGGTCTCTCATTGTGGCCTTAATTTGTACTTCCCAGACAGTTAGTGATATCAAGCACCTGTTCTCATACCCGGTCACCATTTGAGTGCCGTCTTTGGAAGAAATACCTTATAATTACTTTCCTTTTGTTTATTTATTTTATTTTTTGTAAGAACTGACTATGTAAACCAGGCTGGCCTTGAACTTACAGAGATCTGCCTGCCTCTGCCTCCCAAGTTCTGGGATTAAAAGTGTGCACCTCCATGCCCAGCTTTCCCAATTTTTAAATTGAATTCTTTGGTTTCATATTTGGGGTTTTAATGTTTTGAAGTTTTGGATTTTGCTATTTAGTTACAGGTGTTCCTTACATATTTTAGATGCTGACCCTCTGAGATACACAGCTGCCTTTTCATTTGTTGACTATTTCCTCTGTTGTCATACTCAGTCATTTTAGCATTTGTTACCTGTCACCTCAATCATATTTGCCATAAGACCTCATACTGATTAGAGAGCATTCACTTGCATTGCACAAGATAATCTACTTTGCCCAAAGTCTACTGATTTTAGTGCTAATCACATCTAACAAATGCTGTCATGGCTACCTCTAGACTAGTGACCAGAAATAGTACACTCAGTTAGCCATGTTGACACATGAAATTAACCACATACAGACACTATTGACCACTAAAATGGACATGTCACTTACATAGATTGATTAAGCTGGGCATTTTATTTATACCATATTCTTCTTCCTTTTACAGAGAAAAAAAAATCCTCACTTTGCTATTGCAACTGGTCCACCTTGTGACAGGTGGGTCTCTCTTACCCCTTGCCAGAATCTCATCAAAACACACCAAGCAGCTGAAGGGGGTCCTACTAAAGCCAACAGACTATGCAGGGAAACAAAAAGTGCACAGATGGGTTCAGTGACACCTCCAGCATCGGCAGTGTGATGGATGATGCAGACAGGGAGGTGAGCAACCTCACAGATCGGGCATTCCGGAGTTTGTGCATCTCAGAGGACACATCCTTCCATGACTCTGACCTGGCTCTGTCTCCAGACATCACCAGCCAGGGGTTTGGGACTTTTCATCAGGAAACAGTGAGCCACACCAATAGGAAAAGTGGGATTTGGAGCCAGCTTCCATCTCAAGGCACAGAACATTCTGGCTGGGCAGCCACCTTCCAACAGCAACCCAAATATGTTCAGGGGGAGGAAAAGTACCCCAAAAACAGTCCCCCGACCACGCCAGCCCAGAGGAGACTGGAGGTGCCCATTTCTGGCCTGAGAAGCAGCGGCAAGCCCATCTCCAAGGTCTCATCACTAATCAGATCTTTTGACAGGACAGAGAATCGACCATGTGACAGCCGACCTCCTCCCAGCAAGCCTCCCGCGCTCAAAAATCCCAAGTTTGCACCTCCCCCAGAAGGTGGTGTCAATTTCTGCTTCGATTCTGCCTTTCTGACTGTGAGAAGGGTGCCTGCTGAAGCCTCCAGCACCCATCAGAGCAGCCACCAGCCTGGCAGGGTTTCTGGAGAACAGGAGTCTCCCAGTAACCCGGAAGTAGCCTGCCACAGCTCAGACAGCCTCCTCCGGACACCCGACCATGTGACTGACTCATTTGAGCCACAGTTTCCCTCTCCACCTCTCAAGCCAGCCACTGCTGAGCCTGGAAGAGGCGAGGAATGGGTCCCCAGGGGGACTTTCCTGCACAGTGAAAGCAGTGCTTTTGAGTCATGGACTAGCCACCAACCGAAGCTCCTGGAGAGAAAGGACATTGCTCAAACAACCCCAGAAAGCAAAGCTCTCAAACACTATGAGGACATGCCTTTGTTAAAGGAGTCCCACCCTTCGGAGTCCAAAGTCTCCTCCCCCTGCCAAGGCCAGGTTAATTGTGCCCAGGAAGAGACCAGGTCAGCATTCAGGCTTCAGTCCACATCTGGAGCCTGGGGGTCCAGGGAGTCAGGATCCCAGGCATTCCCTGTGGAGGGAAATGCTTCACAGATTGACCCTCAGATGAAGCGGAGCCAGCCCCCCTGGAGGAAGCCAAAGATGGGCAAAGGAAGAACAAATGGTCCATGTGATGCTTTGGAAGACAAGATACAGCACAATAGGAGAGGCCTACCTCTATATTCAAAGCTCAGCCCTCAGGGTCAACTTCCAGAAAATGGTGTTCTGGACTTGCCAGAGGACCCCAATGACCATTACAGTCCCCCCTTTAACATCAGTAAACTCCTTACCCCAATTATACCTACCAAGCATGTCCTAGAGTCTTCAGACACCCAACCAGTGGAGATCAGCCCGTCCCCTCCAGGACAGCTAAATGGATACCAGGAGAAGGAGCCCAATGAGGCTCAGTCTCGGGATAGCTACAAGTCCAAAGCACCCAGCCTGCTGTTCAACCTCAAGGATGTTAGGAAGCATGTCAAGAGTACGTACAGTCCCTTGCCTCTCTTAAAAAGCATTGATGAGAAAACCAGAGGCAAGCAAGAACCTGTGAGCAATGGGGTCACCCTTCCCAATGGGCTTGAAGAAAACCCTCCTGCCAAGCTTTTGAAGGAGATGCCAGCTGATGCCCCCAGCTTCTTG